GACCCAATGCCCATCTCTAGACAACTGGACATACCTTGCAGAGGGGTAGTGGGGAGATGAGTCACTTAGGGTTCAGTATAACAATAATGAAACTCACAACCTTCCTCTAGTTCTTAAACGCTTCCTCCCCGCAACTACCAGGACCCCAATTCTGCCTTGGGGATCTGGCTAGACCAGATGATGCACAGCGGTACAGATGGGAATTGGAAACGCAGAGAATCTAGGACAGATGAACCTCTCAGGACCAGGGGTGACAGTGGCGATACCAGGAGGGAAGGGGGGTGTAGAAAGGGGGAATTGATCACAGGGCGCTACATATATCCTCCTCTCTGGGGGATGGGCAACAGAGGGGTAGGTGAAGGGAGACGCCGGGCAGTGTAATATAAGATATAATAATAATTTATAAATTATCAAGGGTGCATCGGGGAGGGGAGCAGAGGAAGGGAGGGGGAGGGGGGGAAAAAGGAAAATGAGCTGATTCCGGGAACCCAAGAGGCAATCGAATTTTGGGAACGATGAGGGCAACAAATGTATAGATGTGCTTTACACAATTGATCTATGTATTGTGATGAATTTTATGAGCCCCAATAAATTGATTAAAAAAAAGAGGGAGCGGGTGGCACTGGCTGGTCACTGCTTTGATTTTCCTCTTCCCGTGGTCCGCAGGCTTTCCACGACAAGGCTTCAGTTACAGAAAGGTGCCAACTTTACAACACCGGCTGTCAGAGCTGAAATAAACCCAGCCACCGCCAATTCTATCCCCTCGCATTTCCGACAGGCAAAGAAAGCGGTGCAGAGAGCGGGGAGGCTGGCCGCAGAGAAGCCTTTCCTCGGGTCCACAGAGCTTCCAGACTCAGGCGATGGAAGCTTGGGCATCATTCGTGAGCGTGGTGATTTGAATTCATGTTGAAAGATTTTTGTTAATTGTATAGGAAAAAACCCACGGCCTTTTCGTTTGCTGCAGGACCCCGCGTGGTGTAGTGGTTATGTGTTGGGCCGCGTGGTCTGCAAGGTCAGCAGTTTGAAATCACCAGCCGCTCTTGAGGAGGCAGATGGGGCTTTCTACTCCTTTAAAGAGTTAGTCCTCGGAAGCTCAACCTGGCAGTTCCACCCTGTCCTCTATCGCCATTCTATGACTCGGCACTGGTTTGGTGGCAGTGAGTTTTGGTTTCATTTGCTGTGGGCCATGTGGGTTTTTTTTTGCCTGTTTGTTTTTTCAAAAGCCAGCACAACTCCAGTCTCGGAATCAGAATGCGTGGACTCGGAAGCTGGCTTGCTGTATGACTTCTCGGGGCAGGGGACGCCTATCTGTAGAATGAGGCCCTTGAGTGAGAGGATTTCTTAAGACCCCTTTCAGCAGAGACGTCCCATGATGCCACACACGGTGGGTGCCTTTTTACATTACCAGCATGGGATGACTTTTGAATAACTCGCATCTGCCAGGGCCTACATCAGACTAGCATGGTTTGGACTGGCTGGGCAGGAACACACACAAGGTCAGGAAGACACATGCGTGGGGATGATGGGAGACAGGTAGCACTTAGGCCTGTGCGTCGGAGCTGTGTTGGAGGGACAGCATGTATACTTAGTCTGCTTTTACGAGGTTGTAATAACACTCATTTGTGGTGCAGCCCCAGGTTCGGAGCACCCAGGGCTGGAGGGCAAGGTCATGCTCACTCGGCTTTTGTCCCTGAATCCCAGTGACTGGGAGTTAAAGGTTGGTCACCCTCATAGGGGCTTATCTAGCCTTTGCTCACATACTCCTGATGATGCTGAGCTCATCACCTGTGCAGACGGTTCCCCATCCCAGGAAGCTTTCGCTATAAGAAGCTCTGGTGAGTTCACGAGAAGGAAAAGGGTGACCAGAAGGCCCAGAATGGATTCCCAGAAGCGTTCTCTCAATCAGGGCGGGGCCGGCGGGGGGGATGAGGCGGGCAAGTGGTGGGTGGGCGTTGGCCAGGGGATGAGGATTGTGGGCAGGGCAGGGCCTTGAGGGGGCTCTGCGTCCTCCTCTTCAACCCGACTAAGAAGGGGTGGGTCAAGTAGTCAGAGCTGGCCCCCCTGAGCCACTTCCTTAGATAGAACCAGAAGGCAGTGTCAGCCTGGGGCAGCTCAGTCAGGAGGCATGCAGATTAAGGCCCACTATCACTGCCCACCACCAGGGCAGGGCCACCAAGGGGTAATGACTGGAACATAGATTCCAGGCAGCGAATGGTCTTCTGAGCTGGAGAGCTCCCTTCAGAGGGCGGGCTGAACCACAGACCCGCAGGACCTTCCAGAGGGGATGTTCCCGAGGCTCTGGGACAGATGCCATGAGGCCACACTCCCTCAGACACGTGCTCTGTCCCAAGCCCCAACCCACGTTGATACAGGTCTCTTGGCCCTGCCTCCACTCTGTGGTCCACATGTGGCCAGGAGCCAAAGCTGGATCCAGGGCTGGGCGCCAGCACCCGACTGACATGCGGAACGGGGAGGGCCATTCAACACCCTCCCCTAAGTCCTAGTGGTGGGGATACCCGGGGTGCGGTCCACCCGGTGCGTGGCCGCACGCCCAACCCCCTCCAGCTTAGCCCTAGAAGGTAACGCCAGTCTTGGCGGAAAGGCTCTGACCGCCCTACCTGCATGCCCAGGTGGACAGGGAACGTGGGGTCTGGCTCTGCCCAGCTACCTACTGCTTCCGATCGTGACGCTGAGGTCCGCAGGTCACCCAGCCATAGGTACTGAAGGGCCCGCTAGGGTACTGCAGGGCTCTGGGTCCACAACAGGGCCTATCGGGTCGGCTGGCCGCGCCCAGGGCGAGCGGCCCTCCCTGCGGGAGGAGTGGGCGGTCCCGACAGTGCCCACCGGGGCCCGGCTGTCTGGAGGCCAGACCTGGGGGTAGCCGCTGCTCACGGGCCGCAGAGGAACTGGCCACCACTGCGCGCGCTTTCCCGAGGGGGAGAAACAGGTCGGGGGTGGCAGTGTTTTGTGCAAGGTCATGTGAAGGGATTGGGAGCTGGGGTGCTTCGCGCCCCGCCAGGCCCCCGCGGCGCTACGATCCCGGGTTCCCCCCACCCCCAGCATCCCTCCCGGGCCCTGCTGCTGGGGAGGCGCAGCCCTCAAGTCCCGCCCGCCCGACGCCCCCATCGCTCAGGCCACGAAGGCGCGGTCCGCGGCGGGGCCGCCCTACCTTGCTGAGAGCCGCGCAGGTGGCAGCGGCGGCTGCGGCGGCGGCGTCTGGCTCTGGCTCCGCGCTCCTCGCCTCCTGGCGAGTCCCCGCGCCCAGCGCCTCTGCCTCCTCCTCCCCAACACCCTCCCCCGCCCCGCAGCGGGCGGGCGGGGCCGACGGGCGGGGCGGGGTCCGGACCTAAGTTCCGCGCCCCCCCTCCCGCCGGCCAGCCCTCCTCCCTCTCCCCGCGGCGCGCGGGGCCCGGGGCTAGGCCCGGGGCGCGCACACGCTCTCAGAGCAGGCGCGCACTCGCCGCAGGAATCGGGGCGCGCCGCCCGGCTGCGGAGAGCAGGCTGGCTGGGGGCCCTGCCGGACCGCGGGGCTCCTGGTCCCGCGGGTGTGCGCGGCAAGGAGTGGGGGTCTCCACCTCCCGGAGCCTGTTTCCTCTTTGGGGAAAAGGAGACGGTAGGGTGGTTGGAAGATCAGATAAAATGGTCCTGGTGGAGAGGAGCGCTCTCTAAGCCGGAACTCTCAGCGTGGCAAGCGAGGCCTGTGATCCTCTAGGACTAACCCCCGGGCGTCCCCCCACCCCCACCCCCCACCCCCGCTACCCTGGGTAGTCAAGAGGGGTGCTGCCGCCCAGAGTCGCTGGCTTTGGGTTCCCCAGGGCCTTAGACAGTAGGAGGCAATTGGAAACCCTGCTGGTCAGGTGGCCCAGGTTACACGTGGGGCTGCGAACAGTAAGGTCCGCAGTTCGAAACCACTAGGTCCTCGGTGGGAGAAAGAAGCTTTCTACTCCGGCAAGAGTAGTCACACAATCCCGCAGGGGCGGTGCTACTCTGCCACCAGGTCGCTATGCGTCAGAATTGACGTGATGGCGGGGAGATCACTTACTAAGCGCTTACGATGTGCCAGGCACCGTTGGGAGTACCTGTTATGCATTGCCTCACTTTCCCACAAGCCTGTTGCCACCTTTACACACCAGGAGGCGGAAGCATCCAAAGGTGAAGTCGCTCCATGAAGATCCACAGCTAGTCATTCAACCCCAGGCAGCCTCGTTCCCAAACCGACGCACCACCGCTGTACTACATGGAGAACCGCCCAGCAGGTTCGCAAGGCTGCAGTCCTTACAAGAGCACAGGCGTCGGTCATACCTTTTGTTGACTGTAACTATGGGAATAGAGGCCTGCCTCTCTCTCGAGGAGATAGTGGTTTCGAACTATAGACGTTGTGGTCAGCAGCCCAACATGTAACCACTACCCCACTCGGACTCTTTACTGAGCACTAGTTTACCTGTATTACTTCATCCAACCCTACCAATCCTTTACTGCATTCTTCCCACGATTCCTACTTTACAGTTAAGAAAACTGAGGCACAGAGGGGCTAAGTACTTGGGAGATTCTTGATTCTCTCTGTGGTCCTGTCCACAGAGCCACTGCCTACAATGCAAAGGCCAGCCCCTCACAGGGTTCTTCGGATGGACTGCCCATCAGACAGGCAGAGCACATGCTGTGGGCCCCAATGAAAGGTGGGACTCGGGTACTTAAAAAGCATAGGGGCAAAAGCAGTTTCAGGAACTGCCTACACTCATGGTTCAACCTTTTATTTGGAATCACTCCTGGGGCAGAGGGCAGACACTAACCTGAGGCGAGTCCACCTGATGATCATTGTTTTTAAAATAAATGATTTTATTGGGGGCTTACAGCTGTTGTCACCATCCATCCATTGTATCAAGCACATTTGTACATACATTGCCACCATCATTTTCAAAACTATTTTCTGCTTGAGTCCTTGGTATCAGCTTTTTCCCCTCCCACCCTTGTGACCCCTTGAAAAATTATTTTCAATCTTACACTATGCGCTATCTCCCTTCACCCACATTCCTATTGTCTGTCCCCCTGGGGGGGTGGGGTGTTTGTGTGTGTTCTATACCACCTGAGTATCTTAACGGCATCTAGGGTTTGGGGCAGCCTCTCTAATGCACCCCCATGTGTTGCTCACCCCACTCACACAACTACCTCTACGCCCTCACCAGTCCCCTCTGCCAAGAATTCTCTTCTGCCAGCATTGTTAACCTTGTGGGGCCGGCCCCAGACGCCCTCCCCAGATGCCCTGTGGATGTACCCTGTTATTTGCACCTCTCCCAGTGGCACTGTGGATTACAGACACGAGTTACTAGGCCCGAGTGGTAGCAGAACCCCTCACAGATAGGCAGTTTGCCTTTGGAAAGATTGTCTCAGAAATCCTGGAAGGGCCACTTGAGTTGGAATTGACTTGCTGGCAGTGGTTTTGGGGTTTTTGGAGTGTGACATGTGCTTGGTGGCTAGGACTCTATGGAAAGGCTGTTTTCTGGGGGGCATGTGCATATGGACGGAGGGGTTAGAAGGGAAGGCTTTGTGTTCCACACATCCAGGATCGTTCATGGGGTTGCTTAGAGTGTGTGCAGGGAAGGCAGGGGCACTGTACTAGCCCCCAACCAGCATACATGGACACAGCTTCAGAGCAGTTCCCCGCTCCTCCCACACAAGCAAAAAAGCCCAGACCAGCACAGGGATAACCTGCTGAGATCCTGCACTAGGAAGCCACCCAGCAGGGGCATCTGCAGCTTTTTATTGGTCCTTACTGCCGACTGCTCCTTCCTTCTGGGGGTCCTTTAGATCAGCTCTGTGGCACCCACCCACAATGGCCTCCCTCCTTACCTGAAGCCTACAGCATCACTACCTTTTCTCCCAGCAAGGCTTCACCCCACCTGCAACCACCCGTGGGCTCCAAAGCCCCGCCCCTTTGGGTACCAATTCTCAGGAATGACAAGGGGGTGGGGCTGTATCGGGCCTTTGGGAAACTGGAGACGACTGACCCATGACTGGGGTCACAGATCCATGGGGTGTGCACATCTCACTGAGGGGTAGCATCCCCAAGTGCTACCCCCACTCCCTGTGACACATCCCTTTATTCCTGGGGCTGTCACCCTAAGCAGAGATTCCCGTGGGCTCCATCTGGAAAGGGAGGGGCATTTTGACATTTTGAGCATGTGGTTCCTTCCATCCCCTGGGTAAGAGGGGGCTGAGAGGGATCAGATCCCCAGGAGGAGGAGGGGAAAGGCCCCTGGGGATGGGGGTGACAGCTGTGGTGCGGGCAGGAACCTGACACCGGGGGTGGGCCCCACACCTTCCTGGAAAAGCAGGGGCTTGGCGGGTGGTCAGGTTCTAAGGTGCAGCCTCCGACTCCCTGGGTGGGTGTGGCCCTTCCCACCAGTCTGCTGTGTCCTCCTTGCTATCTGCAAAGCTGCCAGTGTTCCTGGGAGATGCCACAATTCCACTGCTGGCAAACACAGGCCCTCCTCCCGTTTTCTTTGCCTGGAGCTCCCCTGTGGGCTGCTCACCAAGTGAAGGCCAGTCCGTGCCTGCCCCCTGCAGGCTGTTCTACGCTCCAGCAAGGGTTCCCAGAGGTGCTTACCTGGGATCTGACTGCACTCAGCAACTTGGCCGCTGTGCGTCCTTGGGCAGGTTAGTGAACCTGCTGAGCCCTGGCTGTCTGCTTTCTGAACCGGCCCAGCCTGGCTTCACCGAGCACTTAGGGCTGGGCAGCTCCCCCAGCTCATCCCCACTGTCCTGGGAGTCCCAGCTCTAGTGGGGTATCAGGTCATCGGACCCCAGAATGGGCTGAGCACAGGGCTCCAGCCAGGACGCTGGAAGCTCCTGAGGGGCTCCTGCAGTGTCAGGCAGAGGAGTGGAGGAGTCTCCTCACCCTTCTCCAGCACAGCTCCTCCTGTCTGGGGGTAGGGGTAGGGGAGTGGCAGGAAGAAAGGGGGAGGGCAAGGAAAGTGAGAAAGGGGGAGGAAGCGGGGTAAGTCAGAGCAACTGCCCCACAGGGCTGCCACCTCTCTTCTGTAGTCACTCTCTCAGAAAGCCACAGGGCCCGCTCAGGTGGGAACCAGCGCTGTCTGGAATCTTGACAGGAGTGGATCCCCAGGCATTTCTCCTGCGGACTCTCAATGAATTTCAACTGCTGACCTTTCAACCTAGCACCTAACCAGTGAGCCCCTGCCCCTCCTGGAGAAGGGGCCAGGGGCAAGAGGAGAGGATGGAGCAGGGGCCAAGGAGCCCAGGGTCGGGGTGGGGCGAGGAAAGAGTAGGAGCGGGGCTCATTGGTGGGTATAAGCAGGCAACCGCCCCCCATCCCTGTTTACTGTTGCAGGGATGGGCTGGGGCAGGGTCGAGTGATGGCCATTCTCGTCCTGGCTTCTCCAGCCGCTGTGCCTCCTGGGAGCCCTGCTGGTGTGCATCCAGGGGCCTCTAGTTTAGTGAGGCGGCTCCATGTGTCTGGGCACAGGGTAGCTGGTGTGCAGACCCCTCCAGTTTGCAGAGACGGGGGACCCACCGGGGCACAGGAAGAAGGTCTGAGGGCATTTCTGCTAATCCATGGTGGTTTCCCACCTCCTTCCTATCAGAGGGTGCTAAGCCAACCTTGATCCCTGCAGGGGTGGGAAGGGCCTCTGTGGGTTAAGGGAGGACCTAGGAGTGTTAACACTGGGCTCCGGGGAACAGGTTCCCTGCAGGCAGTGGTGCTGGCCACTGCTGGGGTGTGTGTGTGGTGGTGGTGGGGTACGCATCAGGAACTGGCTGCAGACTGCAGAGCTGCCCCTGCTGCCTCTTCCCCGCCCTCCCTGCCCTGCTGTCAGAGAGGAGGTGGCAGTCCTGGCCTCCGCCTGTGAGGGGCAGTAAGGGGCCAGAGCTGACCAGCTGCCCAGGGACTTGGCCCAGTCCTCACATGAAGTTGCCCTTGGTGGCAGGCGGGAGTTTTAGGGTTTCCCCTGGGGAGTCCCCTCAGTCAGGCTGGAACAGAAGGGGGCGCTGGGAAGTCAGGCCTCGTACGTGGTCCCAGCAGCCCTGAACCACAGGGTCCAGCTCCCTGGGAAGAGACCAGCGGGGGGTGGGGTCGGGTGGGGGCCATGGCTGGTCCTGCAGACACACCCACACAAGCAGCAGCCACAGATGCCTTGGGCCCACAGGGCGTACTTCTGCCCTGAGACCATCTGGGCACAGTGGTCACTGAGAACCATTTCAGCACTGAGAGGCCAGTATCTTTCCCACGTTCCCAAGCAGTACAGTGGTCACCTGGTGATCGTCCAGGTGACACTGTGACAACAGCACTAGCTGGCCAACATGGCTAAGTGCTCTGTTGGGGGAAGCAGGGTGGCATCCCTGAGCAGGTGGCTGTGAGGATGTGACCCACCCCATGGTGTCACAGCAGACAACGTCCTGATAGAAGTGCAGGGCCCCCAGAGGGGAGGTGACCTTCCAGTGACTGGGAGGAGGCTCCTGGGGCTAGGCTCCTCATCTGTGCCTGTTTTCAGTGGACAGGGCTCTGGAGAGGGAGGCGGCACGTCAGGCCTCACCCTCACCCTCCTCCTCACTGGCGCAGCCCCCGGGCGCTGCTGCTGCTTGGCCTCGGGAGGCTCGGCTCTCCAAGTACTCAGCCTTGAGCTGCTCCAGCTCCCGCAGCTCAGCCTCCAGCCGCTCCCGGTGGGCAGCCCGCAGCTGCCGCAGCTGCTTCATGCGGAAGGGGTTCATGTCATTGAAGGCAATGCTGGTCAGCTTCCTGGATGGGGGAGGGAGGGGCGGGCAGGAAAGACAGCCAGCTGGGGAGAGTCCAGCTCAGCATCCTGGAGCGCAGCCCCATCTGCCTGCCTGTCCCACCCAGGGCCTCTGTGCTGAGGCAGGGGAGGCTCTGGGCAGCTCACCCCACCAGAAGGGCTGGGAAGGGCAGCTCCCAACTTAGTCAGAGAGAGACATGGGGAGGGGGCATAGGAAGGGAGTGGCATAGTGCAGGGCTGCAAGGAACATTTCAGCAGAAGATGCTGACGAAGCCCAGAGGGGGTAGGGGACTTAAGAAACTTCAGTCCTTGCTTGGCTGCATCATGGGGCACTGGTGCTGGGGGCAGGGTTAGCTGACCCCCTCCCCACGGTGTCATGCTGGGGTGGGCGCACTTACCGGCCATCACTGATGGTCCGGGTAAAGAAGCGCAGGTACTGGTAGATCTCCAGGCCGTCCTCCAGCCTCAGGATCTGCTCCTCTGTGTACTTGAAAATGGCCAGGGCGTAGCGGAACACCACCTGGGGGTGGAGGGGTGGGGGCAGGCGGGGATCAGAGGCGCCCACCAAGCTGCAGGGGTAGTGTGGGTCCCTGTGAGGCGGGTTAGCATGGAGCTTGGAATGTGGGGGTCTGGATGTGATGGGTCTGAGGGGGGAGTGCCAGGTCTCTACATAGGACTCTGGCAAGAGGGAGAGGAAATGGCAGTGCCAAGGTTGCCCGTGAACTGTGCGGAGTACTGCTCGGTGGGTTGGGGTGTAGGGAAGGGCCTGTCTATGGCCTCCCTGCAAGGCCAGAGGCAGGGCTGGGCCCAGGCCTGTGCTCCCACCCTCTGTGCAAGCAGGAGGCGGCTGCTGCGCCTCCCAGGGAGATCACTGCCAGAGTCAAAGTGCGTAGTCATCAGGCCGAGTCCCCAGGAACCACCCTCCAGGGTCCCGGGCAGCAGCCTACCTTGGTCCCCTCGTAGAGGAAGGCGTCCCAGACCCGCAGGAAGGTGTCGCTGATGAGGCTGTCCACAAAGACCACGAGAAACCAGTTGAAGGTGATAAGGGAGAGGTCCACGTGGTGCTGCCTCAGGTGCGCCATCAGTCTGGGCATCTTCTCTGCGAGGAGGTCCTGGAGCACTCGCTGGTCCACCTGCCACCGGCGAGGGGCTGTCACCTGCTGGCCTGGGGTAGGGGCTGCCTCCGCCCCATCCAACCCTGCACATGTGGCCAGCCAACACCAGTCCCAGGGCTGTTCTCAGTGTGCCCTGCCCAGCTCAGGAGGCGTGGACTCTTGGAAAAGCTGGGCTGCTGCCCGGCTCGGCCACAAGCCCACCAGCACATGGCCCCCGACGTGCAGGCATGATGTGCCATCACCTGTGCCGGAAGGAGAGGGCTGCCAAGCCGGGGTGTCTACAGGCCGAGGTGCAGAGGGCTCGAGGAAGGGCTGGGGGGCCACACCACACTCAGGGCTCTTCCTGAAGCAGGGCCCTCTGGGGTGTTTTTTTCCGTGTATGCAATCCAGGAGAGGCAAACCTACAGGCAGTAGCTGGATTAATGGTTCCTTGGGAGCATGGGGAATGGGGAGCTAATAAAAAATGGGTAGGAGAATGGAGAAAATGTTCCAAAATTGATTGTGGTGATGACTGCACAACTTTTTAATAGGACTGAATTATATGTCAATAAAACAAAAAAATTTCCCCAAACCTAAACCCCATAGATTGTTCAACACACCTCAATCTTACAGATGTTAAGTCATAGAAGGAAAAAAATAATACATTTCCCCCACCTGCCTTGCGAGCCAAGGTGGCCATGTGATCTAGTCTGAGTAATGAAGGGGTGGGCAGGAGGTATCTGAAAGGGAGCCAGCTGGCTAGCATGGACCTCCTGCCCTTCACCTCCTGCTTCCCTGGCAGAGGCCACAGTGCCAGAGGGCATGCAGCCACCCGTGACTCCAGGTGTGGAATCCACCTGAGGACACAAGCTACAGGTTCGAATGCCAAGCAGCAGCCTGGCCTCAGGGCCTCGGGGAGCAGCGGCCTGACTGCCCACCAATGCCCCTGTGAGCCTGACCTTCCTCCCTGGCCTCTCTCAGCTCCACCCGGGGAAGACAGGACAGGCGGAAGCCCCAGGAGGAGGGATCTGCCTTATACCACGGGTGGCCGACTCCACAGCACTGGGACAGAGGGGGTGGGGTGTGTGTGTGTGTGTGTGTGTGTAGACTGGAGGCCCCAGGGGTGGGAAGTGAACAAGTCCCCTTCGGGTGGCCTCTCAGGAACAGAGAGGGCTGACCTGTGAGAATGGGGTAGAACGGGGGCCGAGAGGGAAGGCCTGACGTGTTTTCCCACGTACCCTTCTCCACAAGGCTGCCCACCTGCCCGCCGCCTGGGGAGCAGCTTCACTCTTATGCACAAGTGGACCAGCCTGGGGTCTGGAGGTGCTGCCACTTGCCAAGGCCACAGAACCACTTGGAGGGCCGACTCCAGGGCTGGCATGTGCTCGGAGAGCAGCTGAGGGGTGTGGGTGGGCAATGAGACAGAGGCGTGGTCTTCGTTCTCTGGAGACCTCCCCTACTCCCAGCCCCTCTCCCGATCTCCATGGCCTCCAGTTGTAAAATCCTGGGTAGAAAGCCACAGGTGATGCTAGGTCTTGTCTTCTCCCCTGCCCTCAACACCAGTTGTTTCTAAGCATAGTGTCGCCACTGGATGCGAGTGGCCATGGGCCAGGAAGGAGGACCAGGTCTGCATCTTTAAGAACGTGTAGCTAAGTTGAAACAGGTGCCAACGGTTTTTAGCCTTATTTTTGGGCAAGAAGCCCTGGTGGCACATTGCCTTGAGTTGGGCTGCTAATGGTGAGGTCTGCGGTTTGAATCCACCAGCTGCTCTGTGGGTGAAAGCAGAGGCAGCCTGCCTCTGTGAGGATGTCCAGGCTGGGGACCCGGGTGCTCAGGGCACCATGAGGCTGAGATGACTGGGTAGCAGTGGGTCTGGTGCAAAGGAAGCTGCTGCAGAGATTTAAAAGCTGATGTGCAACTGGTGACAGTGATGGAGGCTTTGCTGCGAGCAGAGCTGGGCGAATGGACACAGCATGCAGGGGCAAGCAGGTGCTGTCCATCGGTCAGACATCTGTCATCCAGGGGTTGCCCAGAGCAGCGGTTTATGCCCTAACAATTCTAGCGCCCATCTGCTGACCAGAACTTCCTGGCAGTCCCCAGAAGCAACTGACCCACTTTTCAGAGACAAAGGATGGCCTGAGAGATGCCTGCCCTCTTGAAGGGCGCCGGCCTGTAGGGAGCACCCAGTAGCCCCCCGCTCCGCTCACCTGGGAGGCCGCCAGCGTCTTGCTGTAGTAGTCAGCTGGCATGATGGTCTCCACAATGGCCACCAGGCACCAGAAGGCACTCTCCTCATCATTCAGGATCAGCAGGGCGATGGCCGCCAGCCTGGGTGGGAGGAGGAGGCCTGAGTGCCCAGGCTCGGTTCCCATTCCTGGGGAGGGCTACATGTGCACCAGTCTCAACTGCACAGCTCTGGCCACTTCAGAGCATGGCTGTGAATACTGGTCCTAGTGCTTCCTTGCTGGTGCTCTTGGGCAAGTCACTTAACCTCTCTGAGCCTCGGGCTCTTTATAACAATCAGTGCTGTGAGGATGAACAGAACCAACACTGCTCATGTTCCAGCACAGAACTGGGCCCACAGTGAGCTCCTTCTAAATGTCAGCTACCTGCATCTTCAGATTCAAAGTCCTCCTGGGGCCACAGGCCTCTCCAGGCACTAGGTGAGCACAAGGGTGTGTGTCAAAGATTTGGAGGCCCAGAACACTCTGGTGCCCCTTAGAGGCACATGATCTCAGCAAACCCTCAGCAAGGTCACCTCCAGCTTGGGGTGCCATGGGCCTTTCACGCATCACCTAAGATGTCCAAAGGAGCCAGTGCCCCCAGACATAGAGAGATGCCATGGGACAGCACTGGGAAGCCTCAGCCGCCCTGTGAATGCAGCATGTGAAGAAGAGCACGTGTGTCTAAGTACTTATGCTCTTCTGAGATATTACATGTCTGGATTCTTAACCCCAACTGCTTCTGAGGCTCAGGCCTTTTTCAAAATCAGAGGTGACTCTTAAGAAGAATAAAGCTATCCCTTCTCCCTGCCAACTACACAAGACATTTCCTCCCCCCTGGCTCAAGTATGTGTAGAAATCCGAGTCTGGGCTGACTGGATGAGGAGAGAGAGCCACAGGTTCCGGGAAATTGGAGGCTCTCTCAAAGGCGAAGGATGGGGCTTTTAGAGCCCTGTTCTGGGATTGCAAAGATGTGGAGCCCCATTCACCACTTGCTCTGTCCAAGGCCAGGACAGACATAACTAATGGATCATGGCACTCTTTCCCACTCAGTGAGTCTACAGGTAATCTTAGAAACTTCCTCCAGAAAGGGATACAGGCAGCTGTTTCCTATAGCTTTTCCCTGGTCAAACAAACTCCTTATTCCACAGGCTCAGAAAGCTAATTACTTGCCTGAGTTCACCCAGGTGGCTGGTGGCAGGTTGAAAGGGGAACCCAGGACTCCCACACAGAGCCCCACCCCCATTCCATAAGAGCTTCAGGATGTGCTCAGCCCAGGAGGCAGCTGCCTGTGTTGACCTCAGCTTCTGAACACACTATACAGCCAGGGTCTGAGGCTGCTGGGACCACTAGGGCAGAGCAGCAGTGGGATTCCCACACCAGGCATTCAGGCCCACCCAGGCCTGCAAAGGAGACCCTTGAGAGAGAGGCAACTCAAGCCAGGGGTGGGGTGGGGCAGGGGGACAGAACAAACTACATTTAGATACTCTCCGCCCCCCCCTCAGACATAGGAAGTTAGAAAACACTTTTCAGGGGCTATGGCTTTAAATTGTAAATTAGCAGGGAATCACCACTTTGCACTTTGTTACCTTTTAAAGAGAGTGGATGTGTTTGTTGCCTTAAAAACAAGGTCAGGCCTCCTGAGGTACCAGAGGCAGTTCTAACTGCCACCACTAGGTGGCAGAACTTAGACAAGTTCTGTACGTGGGTTTACCCGGCTTGGGCTTAAAGAGCCTTCTTTTCAATAGAATGCTCTCAGAAACCCTGGTGCCTTACTGGGTTACAGCTTGGGTTCCATGAGTTCAGCAGTTCAAAACCACCAGCAGCTCTGCGAGTAAGATGAGACTTTCTATTTCCATAAAGTGTACCCGCTTGGAAACCCACAGGGCAGGTCTACCCTGTGCCATAGGGTGACTATGAGTTGGACGACTAGATGACAGGTGTTTGGCTTGGTTTTTACAGGAAGCACTGCACCATCCCCGACTGAAAAGCCTACACATACAAAGAACTTTCCATTTAAAGCAACAGTGTATTCTCCCAGGTCCCCATGGTCCTTGCTCGCTTATCACATGGAAACAAACAGGACCTTCAGAGAAAACATCACCACTCTGGGGCTCTCTCCACTCCCTGGGTGCTGTGGGCCTGTGGGCAGGTTGCCTCTGTCCACCTGGGGTTCACCTCAAAAGCTCCATTCCACAGGATTGTCTTTCTGCCCCTCAAAGGACCACCATTTCTGGAGTTACTAGATTGGGTTCATGACCTGCAACCCCTTGTGGGAAATTTAAGGGCCCTTGGTACTGCCTCTGCCAAAGTCCTCATTCTGTGGGAGGGGAGGTGGTCTCAAGGCTGGGGCTTGGGGCTAGAGAGCAGGATGGGCACTTGGCCCAGCCTCCTGTGCAGAGAGCGGAAGTCCCAGTGCCCACTCGCTGGGTTTCACCAGGATGGAATGAGGTCAGCACTTTACCCTCTTGGCTTCAGGAGTGTCTGTTCCTATCTGAGCTCTGGCATGAAGCATATCAAGCGTTCTTATTACTCTCAAAGTTTCCTGTCCCTTCAAAGCTATTCTTAAAGAGGCTTTGCTGCCCCCCCCTCCCCCACCCCCTTCTGAACTCTACCGTGTTGGAACGAATGACAAGTCTGTGAGTTTTACTCAGCTGGGAATGAATGAGCACCTGTCCATCCACAGACACCCCAGCAGCAAATGCTGCATCAGCATGGCATCTGAACATATTCCCAAAGGAGGCGCTGGGCTCTAACTTCACACCTCCAGCACTGGACATCCCCGTGCTCAGCCTCACCCGTGTCTGGATGGAGACAAAGCATCAAGTTTGAATGGGGCCCTGTGCGTGCTGACCAGGCATCCATCCACTAAGCGCCAAGTGCTGCCTATTCTGAGAGCAGAGAAGCAGAACACACCGAAAACGACTCTGACCCAGAGCGACCTCACAGGGCAGGGTAGAACTGCCTCTGTGCTTCTGAGACTCACTCTCTGGAGGAGTAGAAAGCCTCACCTTTTCCCCAAGGACCAGTGACTGATTTTGAACTGCTGACCTTGGGGTGAGCAGCCCAACTATGCTACCAGGGTTGAGAATGTTCATACCCATTTGCTTTGGGCAACACCTGAGAGGTTATAAGCGCTAGTGCTCCAGGGATCCCCGAGGGGCAGCCCTGGGGACCACTAGACCCACTCCTTCTAGACTCCCGGAACCCCAGCAGATGGGACCGAAGTATACACCGAGCACAAGCTGGCTGGTCAGATTCCTGCCCTTGGGGATGCAGCACTGCTGAGAGGAGGGGCCAGCTCCCTTTGGCCCAGCACTCCTCTGAGTGGGTTTCTCTGCTCCAGAGAGAATGAGCCCGGCAGCGTTGGTCCTGTGAGTTGGGAAGCTTCATGTGCGAGCAAGCGAGTGACCGTGAGTGTGCCCTCTGGAGCACGAGGCCCAGGAGGGAACAAGGGAGGCAGACCTGCAAGTGCTGGGTTCTCTGGACCCTCGGAGGCGGGAGCTCACCTGTTGAGGCCCTGGCAGTAGCCAACGGTGGGGTTCTGCCAGGAGAAGGCCAGCAGCACCCGGCGGAGCTTGTCGGGGAAGCGGGAAGTGGGGCAGGTGAAGTGCTTGTTGTTGGGAAAGGTCCGGTTCAGGTCCAGCTCTATCTGGCGGGCAGCAGGGTGCTCACAGGCCCGACCCTGGCTCAGCAGCTTCTGATAGTGACCGGGCACCTGCAGGTGCTGCACGCGCAGGTGGATGAGCCACCTCCAGACACGTGGCCGGAGCTCTCGGGGCACGCCCGCCCGCAGCAGCTGCTTGAGCTCTGCCGAGGGCGCCAGCTCCCCTAGGGCTGCCCAGCGCTCCCGCAGTGGCTGCTCCTCGTGGGCCAGCAGGTGGTGGGATCGGACCTCCAGTGCCTGGATCTTGGCCAGCAGCTTCAGGTCTTCCACCTCATAGTCAGGCACCGTCAGGAAGCCATAGTTGTCGTACTCACTGCCAGAGAAAGGCCACATCAGCCACGCCACATAGGGTCCTTCCCTGCACCGGGGCTGCGGGCTTCCCAACTCACAAGACTGAACCTCAGTTTGCTCTGCTGCAATGCAAATGGGCCTGGAAATCCCTGCTCTGAAGCAGGGAGTGCTCCCAGGTCCCTGTTGTCTGGTGCTAAGGCTGAGACAGTGCCTGGCAGTCAGCAGGTGCTGGCTCTCCCTGCGTTCTAGACTATTCAGGGTCTGAGGAGGCCCACACTGCTTGTGTAGAAGCCTGCAGGCTACAGCCAGCAGCCGTGGAGGGAGGCACCAAGGACAAGTGGGCACAGGAGCATGGGGGCCGGCTCCAGGGGGCCTTCCCTCTAACCGGCACTTATTTGTGCAGACTGTGCCAGGCATGTGCTGCCTAGGGAGTTTACGAAGCAGGGAGCCACAGCCCACACCTCCTCGGGACTAGACAGGTAATGCCACCTGTCTGGGACCACACAGTGAGAGAGCTGGGTCTGACTCCAGAGGTACGGGGCGCCTGCTGTGCCATGCCAGGGCTGGGCTCCCCTGCCCATGCCTGACCCCGGGCAAGGGGCTGCCTCCCGAGTCTGCCCTTCTTGGCTATAAATGCGGTTCTTGTTGGCCACACGCAGGCTAACCAGGATGCCAGTGCAGATGGGTCACACAGAGCAGCCTGCACCGCTGGGCTCACCTGATGGGGCTCAGCCCGACGCTGTCCACTGCAGCTTCGCTGGCCTCCTGCTGCAGTGCCTCCTGGGTGAGCTGCTGCAGCAGCTCTGCACACATGCTGGTCTCGCCCCCCATGGCCTCCTGCAGCCGCCGCAGCCCAGCCAGGTACTTGCTTTCCACCTGGCAGTTCTTGGCTTGGAGGTAGGCACACTGAGGGAGGGGAATGTGGGCGGTCAGGCCACCTGGTTGGGCTCGGCTGCCCCAAACACTGGCTGAGGCACCCAGCCCTTCCTCTAGCCCTCACCTGCCACCCCCTGGCCACCCACAGACACTTGGGCAAGGAGCTGGCCCACACGACAGAGTTTACAGTGCAGCAGGAGGATCCAGGCAAGAGGCCCAGACCAAATGGGGAGTGGGGGGTGTCCTGTTGATCTCTGCTTCTGGTGCGGAGCAGACAGCTCCTGTGTACAGGCCGGTGTGGGGTGCAGGCCGAGGGCATGCTCTCTGGGTGGCTGTCTGTACAGTGTCCAGGGCCGGGCTCCTTTCTCTGCACCTTGGCCTCTTGCCCTCTATTGCCCCTGCAAGGCTATCCCACAAGGACACAGCACATGTCCTACCCCCAGGCCTCCCCACACTGCCCCCTGCACTCACTCTCCCCCACACTCACTCCCTGCCAGGAGGCACCCCGGCCTCGGACCTTTGGATTCTAGTGACACCGTGGTGGTGCCAGCCCATGGGGAGCCTCTGCAGCCCCAGCCTCCTCTGTTCGATGCAGAGTAAGAACCTGGGACGCCAGGCCTACCACTCTACCGCCCTGGGTGCTGGCCAGCTGCAGCTTGTGGCACCACTGGCCAGGACCCGATGCACAAGGGCGAGCAGGCGCCCAAGCACTTTGTCCTGGCTGCTCCACCCTCACTCCCACGTGCATTCCCAACTCCCTCCTCGGGGTCCGGCACCAGCTTTGACAATCACCTGCCTTCCAGTCCCAGCCGCCCAGGCCCATCCTCCAAGGAGAAGCCATAGCTACTTTTTCAAAACCTACAAAGTCCTATTTGATCCTCTGTCGGCCAAGGCCTGAGGACTGAGAAGAACTGAGAAGCAAGGACCGTCATTGGAGGACTGGGGTGCCTAACTCGCTTCCTGTGCACATAGAATAACGAAGACTAACGGAGAATCCACGGGTTTGATCAGGCTGGTGAAAAAGTACCCTGGACTGCAAAAGGACAAGCCGATCTGTCTGGGGAGAAGGACAGCCAGAGCGCTTCTTAGCGGCAAGGACGGCCAGACTTGGTCTCACTGCGGACGTGTGGTCACAGAGAGCAGTCCCTGGAGAAGGGCAGCACGCTCGGTAGAGCTGCGGGCAGAGAGAGGAAGGCCGTCGAGAAGGGCGGACGCCGTGGCTTCAACACGGGCTCAAGCACAGGATGACTGTGAGGCGGCACAGGACCGGCAGGCAGGGTTTCGTCTATTGTGCACTCGGTTGCTAGGGGTCAGAACCGGCTAACCGACTGCCCTGGGCCCTCTGCCACTATCTGCCTGGATAGCACTCTCTCACCTTTAAGGTGCAGCTCAGCAGGTACCTCTGCCAAGAAGTCTTCCTTGACTGTTCCTTTCCCTCTAGACCCCCAAACATCCTGTGAGTCCCGACCCCCTGCGCCCATCTGTGGACTCCCGCGAGGGGAACCAGGTTTATTCATCTCAACATCCCTCTGCCCCGGGGTCAGAGATTCTGACGGTCAGGTGTCACTGTCGCCAGACCCTACAGAGCAGACAGGGAATGAGAGAGTGGTATGCGTGGCACAGGGTCACCTTTGTCAGCAAGGCCTTCTCCCTCTCGGCCACCTTCCTCCAGATCTTTGTGACCTGATGGATCTCGGAGTTGAGGAAGCGGTTCTGAGTCCGGTATGCTTCCATGTCATCCTGAGGCGGAGGAGTGAAAAGCATTTGGTCAGTCACACAACACAGTATCTTCCCTGTCCCTCCAGCTGTTCGCCAACACTTCCTTTCTTGAATTATTTCCAGCAACAGAAAAGCAAATCTGAAAATCAAGACCCACAACCCTCTAACCTTGATCCCCAGGTAATGTGGGTGGGAGCACATTAGAACAGACGTTCAAGCCTTGGCTCTGAAATCCTGGTTGGGAGCTCGGATCATTTCCTCAGTTAAATGGGGCAAATATCAGCCATTCCGCCAGCGGGGAAGGTGGGAGACTCAACAAGGTAAGTACAGGAAGTAAACAAACACTGCAGGTGCTCACGGAGCGTGTTTCAGAACAAGCGCCTGTACTCACCTTAGAACTTTAACAACCTAGTGCTGACGTGCAAACCTTCCTCTCAGGTGCCACCTGGGCTTCTCAATGGTCACCTTGTGGGGGTGAGCCCACTGGGCGCACATGGCAGTTTACGTTACGTATAGCCAGTTTGTCAAAAAAAATCTTATCATCTTATTGTGCTTTTGGTGCCAATTTACACTAGAGGCGCTAAGCAGGCCAGGCCCCCAACTGTTCTAGAACAGGGTTCTGACTCGATCTCAGGCTCTTGTCAAGCGCCATCCTCCAGAGACACCTTCATTTTTCAGCCCAAGTCACCACCACGACAAACAGCTTCGGTGACAGTGGGGCCTCTGGAAGGGCATGGCACTATCTCTATTGACACTTAACTTAGAAACGAGTATTCCAGCGCTGAGGATTATCCTAGCTCGGCCTAGAAACCCAGAGTGTTAAGAGCAGGGGCCCAGAAAGAGCTTGGCAGGGCCTGGGGGTAGGGGGTGAGGGGGCCTGGGGTCTTACCTTCAAGTGCTCCATCTTCTCCTGCTGGCTCAGGAAGGTGCTGTCGGCAGCCTCGGAGGGTGTGGGGAGGTGCATGGCCTCCTCGGAGAGCTTACAGATGACCTGCTGCTTGGCTTGGTTCTTGTCCATGAGCAGCTGCACTTGCTGCTGCAGCTCCTGCACCTGCCGCTCGCGCAGGCCGGCCGTCTGCGCCAGGCTCTCCCGCTCCAGCTCCAGGGCCTCCACCCGCCTGCTCAGCGCTGCGATCTGCCGCACCTTGTGCCGAACGAGCTCCAGCCGGTCCTGGTCCTCGGCTGCCGCCAGGTATGCGCTGGATGCCCTCTTCTCCAGCTGGGCTGCCTCCAGTGCCTTGTGCAGGATCTTCACCAGCTCCTGGGCGGGGGAGGGCAGCACCATGAGCATGGGGAGGGCCTTGGGGGGGGGGGGCAGCACAGGCATACCTTCCCACCGTTGTCACAGGGCCCATTTTCTCTTGTGTCTAAGCGTTGCCCAGCTAAAGCCTACACCCCAAAGCCCACCTCACAGCTCAAGGGAGCCTGTGACCATTCGACCTAGTGGAATATGAGAAGTGGTGTGTGCTGGTCTCGGTCAGACATGTGAAACCAACAGACACAAGCTTCGCCAATACAGCCCCCTTTCTCCTGGCTGGGGAACAGCACCCACTAGAGCAGGCTCTGGGGGCTCACGGGCAGGGGGCTCATGGGCAGGGGGCTCACCTGCCCAGAACTGCTCACTGACCTCGAGAGAAGTAAACCTTCAAGAGCTGCATTTTCGAGATCAGCACACTGAGGCTGAGCAGTGGCGAGTGGAACTCAATCCTAAATCTTCCAGAGTCCACGCCTGGATTTGGTCAGCAGCAGCGCTGGGATGGCAGCTAAGTGGCACACAGCACTGCTCTACGTGCACCCTCCATGGCAGACGTTACCAATCAACTTCGGCAGCTTTCTCTTAGATCCAGGAGGGCATTACCAACTGGGCTGGGTCAGCATCAGAAACAGCGGTGATACTAAGTCGCTGCCTGCCATCGAGCTGATTCCGACTCAGAGTATTCTGTAAAGCAGAGCAGAACTGCTCCTGTGGGTTTCTGAGACTGTAACTTTTCATGGGAGTAGAAAACCTCATCTTTCTCTCATGGGGCAGCTGGTGGTTTCAAACTGCTGACCTAGCCATTTGCGGGCCAACTCCTAACCCACTATGCCAGCAGGGCTCTCCCATACACAGACAGCCTGATTTAGTCTATTGTGCCCGGCCCTCAGTCAGGCACACTGTGCTGCAGGGCTGGTGCAAGGCAGTACCCGTGGATTCAGTGACTGCCATGCCATCTTTCTCCACAGAGGCTCCTGGCCCCCCTAAAACTGCAAGGCTTCATTCTCCTCAGGACCTGCCCTGCCTCAAAGAAGGGATGCCAGGTAGGGCATTTTGCCCATAGTGCTCTGCTTTGTGCCAGTTGAGTCTCATTTAGGGGAAGAGAAAAAGACACATCACAATTTCCTGGATAAGTCAAGTGTACCAGCTCACAGAATTTCAGTGTACAGCCCAGCTGGGCAGGGTTATGTGACCAGAACAATTGCAGGGGAGAGCTGCCCTCGGACTAAACCAGATGACAACACGTCAGAATGCACCCTCAGATGTTTCAGTAGGAGCGACCGGCTCCTTCTCTGGTCCACTGGTTCTCTCTCACTTGTCCATCTGCCCATCCACACAGCCTTTATCAAACACCCACCCAGCACCAGGTGCTGAGGCCCCGAGTGGGAGCAGTCACAATTTCTGCCTCCACAGACGGGCGAGGTGGTAGTGGCGAAGGTCGGAGGGACATGCTGCAGGAGGGAGGCAATGGCAACTGTGGGCCCCGGAGCAGGGAGCATGGGCATCTGCCTGGGGAAAGGGGTAGAACTCTCTAGAAAGGTAAGCGGCGGGAGCATGGGGGGAAGGGGGTGCTGCAGACAGGGCAGAGCCACCAGCTGGAGCAAAGGCAGGGGGAAAGGAGAGCAGTGGGCAGCGAGGGCCTGGGTGTGGCAGGGAGGTGAGGTCGGCAGGGCGGAATGTTCTGCTGAGAGAGACGAACGTTCCTGGGCTCCAGAGTCATCAAGATCAGGGGCGCAGACCATTTTCTGGCTCCGCTAGATTTGAAGATTACTTGGACCGAGTGCCTTCCAAGCCAGCCTGACCTCTTTCCTTGGTGGAATAACCCAGAGCTCACACGGTTGAGACTTGTCTGAGTTGGAATCTGAACATTTCCCCAACTTTGCAAAAAGAGCAAAGTTTCATGGCCTCCAGCTGCCTCCTACGTCCGGTCTTCACAATCCCAGCCCTCCTACGTCTGGTCTTCACAATCCCAGCCCAGGAGTCTCTTCGGATGCCTGTGCCCCAAATCCCTGCACCCAAATGAGAGGAGTGGTGGAAGGAACCAGGGAGAGAGGCAGAGCTTGAGGAAAACATGAAGGACGAGACTCGGGGAGAGGAATAGGAGGAGGGGGTCAGGGATTCAGAAAACTGGGGGTGGGGCAGGGCCTGGAGAGGCCTTCGGAGCCCATCAGGTCTAGCCGTCTCGCTGTCCATGCCACTGATGCCCAGGCAGGGAAGAGAGTGGACCCCCAGAGGACGTTGGGGAGTCCCCGGCTTGTCCATCTGCAGGAGCCTGTTCTTCTCTGTGGGGCACCCCAAGGGCTTTGGGAGTGACACCCTCGCTCGGGCCTGCTTGGAAAGCTGGGGAGAGCGGTCTCATCAGGCAACAGTCTGTGTCTCATAAACACCTTTGACTGCGTGGAGAAATGTTGAAGTCTCCCCCTTGGCTGTGTCTGCTTAGAGGCTTTTAAAAACGCACCAACGACACAGAGGCTGCCAGCACGCCCTTAGGAACCCCTTCTTCTCTTCCAACACAACCCACCGACCACTCTGCCAGGGCCCTGGTAGAACACGAGGAGGGCTGGGTCCGAGTGGTGGGAGAGGCAGCGAGAGGTGGGTGGCTTCTCAGTGGAACCTCTGTCCAGCCTGCAGGAGGCCGCGCCAGGCTCCACGCGCACCCAGGGTGAGAAGCTGGTCACCCCATCTTCTTCTTAGCACTCCCGTATGGGCAGTGCTCTGAGGTAGAATAACACATCTGTTGCTAGCGGCGTCTTTAAGAACATGCGGTCCCTTAGAACAGGCGCAAACGGTTCTTCAAGGTTGGTGGCTCAACAACCTCCCCCCCTCCCCGCTGCTCTGTGGGGATGGAGCCCTGTGCAGGGTCACTGGGAGTTGGCATTCACCTGGTAGCACTGGGTTTTGGGATTGTGGCAGTCACCTAATCTGGTGTCAATTTGAGGATTAAGAGTGTAGGGGGTGGAGTCTAGGCTGTCAATCTGGAGATAGCCAATGAGACTTCTGTGTGGGCATGGCCTCCTGAGAATTCTGGGAAAACTGGGACTTCCTCCTTGGAGGCAGAAGACACTTCTCTCTCTCTGCCACTCCCTGGGAGATGTTGCAGAAGACAAGCCCCATGGATGCAACCAGACCTCTGAAGCCAGACAAGCCAGAGAGAGACCCCTGCCAGTGCTGAGATGCTTATAACGCCACTGCACCCAAAGACTTTCTACCCACTGGACTGGGTTGGGATGTTTTCTCAATGTTCAATCGCTCTTGTATATAAAGCTCTTTCTTACACACGTGTGTCCCTGGATTTGTTTCTCTGGTCTACCCAGACTAACACAGGGCTAGTGCAGGAAAGGGCTGACAGTCACCTAAATTCGGGTCAACTATGTTCACATAGAAGCAGCACCCCAGCCTGTGTGATCCCAGATTTGCAAATAATAAAATCCAAATCTGAAGGAGGGAACAGTATCAGAGCTTACATTCTGAACACCTGGTTTGCAGAAGGCTCTGGTTGAGAGTGGAAGCCCCAAATGCATTTGCGGGGTCCCCACAGAGATTAAGTCTCTGGTGAATCCCCTCTGATCATAGTCAAGGGGTGTGTCACACCTTATCATTTGACCTCCTTTTTGATCTATTTTAAGGTTCTTTCTGTTTTTAATATTTTCTGTTTTCTTTTCGATGGAGAGCTTTCTCTGTTTTATCATTTTAGGGTTTTTGTTTGCTTCTTGTTTGGGTTTTATATGATTTTCTGAATATGAAATTCAGCATAGGTAAACCTATGGAGACAGTAACTGGATCAATAATACCGAGGGGGGAAGTGGGGAGCTGACAACAGTGAGCACGAGAAGGAAATGATCTGAAACTGACAGTGGTGATGGCTGCACAGCCCTTAGTAGGACTGAGCCATTAAACTGTATGATGTGAACTGCATGCCAATAAAACGTGTCTGTGGTTTCTCAGAGCTTTGAAAGCTGCAGGTGCAGGAACGGAAGCCCTCTGCGACGAAGACTTTGTTGGGCCTGCATAGGGCTGGTTAAGGATTCAAATTTCTCTAACACTCCCGCAGGGCTCCCAAGGTGGCGGCAGCCTCCTCAAAGACTGCCGCCCAGTGGGCTGGGGGCGGAAGGCACGCTCCAGAGTCCGGCCAACAACCCCACCCCACCCATGAGGCTCACCACACCTCATTCTAGGGCTTCAGGCTGGAATTCTTCCTGTTCCGGAAACAGTGCTGAGTCACCCGAAGTGTGAAAGCCCCAGTGTGCTGCTGCTGCCCTCAGCAGCCATGAAGGAAGCAATGAGAGCATAGTCTTGTTTACAGGGCCAGGACAGTTGCCTGTGAGTCAAACATCTGTACTTCAGGGGCCGTCTGTAATGAACTTCTCTTTAGCTTAAGCCTAAACCTTTCTCCCTGTCACTGGCCCCTGTTGGTCCTGGCTCAGCCCCTACCTGCTTCCTCTGGTCCGTGACAGACAGTTCTCAGAGAGGTGTGCTGTCCCTTCAGTGGCCCCCTCACAGACCCTGCCACCAGGCCCCCTCTTCCAAATACAGTCCTCCTTAGGTGTCTGGTGGGACAATAAACAACCCTCCAGGAGGGTCCAAAAAGACAGCTATTAGAGCAGGTCTCCATGACCCTGCCCTTGGCAGCATGTCGGACTAATCCACATCACAGCATTTCCCACCTTCTCAGTATGGCCTTAGAGAATACACACAGGCTCCATTCTGCTTACCTATCACTTGCCTCTGGGTCCAAAGGGCTCCAGGCCCTGAGGGGTTCACTGAGGCCTGGGTCCTTTTGGGGGCCCGAACTCACCTTCTGAGACTCCAAGTCCTTGGTGAGCTTCAGAACATGCTGCTTCATGGCCTCCACTTTCTCGTGGGGGGTGTGGCCACGGGTCAAGCCTTCAGAAAAGCGCGGGAAAGTGTGGTTCTGGCGCTTGGCTTTCTGGATGAGATTGGCTGTCAGAGAAGCCTTGGGCGTGGACCTTGGAGACTCTTGGGCCTCTTTCTCTGCCGAGGAGAAATGCAAAGGTGAGTCACTGGTGACATCAGCAGGTCTCAAGCCTGACCTGGTTTCAGAAGCACCTGGAGATCGCTGGCCCTGCTCCTAGAGTATGGCTATATAGGCCTGTGCCTGTGGAGACCGTGCGTTCTCAGAAGGCTCCCAGGTGGCGCGGATACTGCCCACCCGGGTCACATCCGTGAGACCCTCAGGCAGAAGGCAGGCACAGTTGAGAGCTGAGGGGCCAGTGTACTGCTCTCAGCTCCCGCAAAGAGCAGTCTCAGAAACCCACAGGCTCTGCCCACATGCTCGCTGCGAGTTGGCACCGACTCGATGGCAGTGAGTGTGTTTGGTCAGCCTGCAGCCTGGTCGCAGGAGAGGGCCCCCAGCTCTCAACTGTGCCTGTGTTCTGCCCGAGGGTCTCAGCCCGAGGGGACTGCCTCCCTCAGACCATCTCCTCAGGCACAAGCCCTGGCAGGGCACCCCATTTCTTAGTTCAGGGTCCTGCCTAGACCCTCTGGGTGATTTCCAAAGCACACAGAGATGTTCCTAACACCGCCTTCTCTTGAAGGGAACCAGAAGGGCTGCATTCCTTCCTCTTATCTCCAAAGAGGCACTCCAGCTCCTCTGATTCTTCTCAAACGCTAAATCAGGAGACAGCGCCTACAGTAGAATGCATTGAGGCTGTATAAAATCAAACCCAACTCACTGCCACGGCCATTCTGACAAGGTGGAACTGCCCCTGTGGGTCCCGAGACTGCGACTCTTTGCAGGAGTAGGATGCTTCAAGTTTCTCCCACTGACCAACTGGTGGTTTTGAACTGCTGATCTTCTGGTTAACAGTCCAATGCATAACCTATTTCAACAGCTGTGCAGTCCTTTTACTTACTTTTGAGCAAGAGTAAATAAGCTAATTATGACCACCACCCCACCAAAAAAACCAAACCCCCCAAACCAACCAAATCTAATAGGCATCCTGCTTTTTAGAATAATGTTTTATTGAAGCACAGGTACTCCTAATTTGTGGAAAAGAAAGAGACAAATAGAGGAAGCAAAAATCAGAAAAAGCAAGAGAGATTTTTTCCCTTTTTACTTCAAAATCATCATTATTAGTCTTGGGGAGTTTGGTCTTTGACACACAGCCTGGCGAGCAGGTCCTGGGACCCCCAGGGCAGAGGTCTCTGAAGAAAGCTTGGAGCTAGGCCAAGGCTTACCTGGGGTGCTGGCGTTGGGGGGTGGGGGCTGCTCTTCCCTTTGAGGCACCCCACTCTGGGGAGAATCTTCCCCTGGAGGGCCGAGGCCTGACCCCTGGGGCTGCTTGCTGCCACGGATGTTACACATGGTGTTTCTGTCAAGAAGAGACGGGGAGGTGAGGCTGGCGGGGAACTCGCTTCAGGGGCAAGCCACTGTGCTGCTCAGCTGCCTTGGGGTCGGTCTGCTCTGAGGCCACCTCTGGAGCTCAGACCCTGCTCCCTGCCCCAGCCAGGCCTGGACTGGTCTTCTGGCCTCAGCCACCCCAAAGGACTAGTCCCCACCCGGCACTTCCAATCCCCCTGCCTGCCTCACTTCCATCCCCATCACACAGGCCGGCCTCCACACACCATGCTGCTTATCAGCAAGTGGAACTCAGCTCGTATCCTCCGAGCCCAAGGGACTGCGTGCCCACGAGAACAGGGGCGTCTGCCAATGTGGTTGGCGATGGCCCGTGAAAGAGTCTGTCACAGTGCCTGGTGTATGCTGCTCCTGATGTCTCCATGAGACAGGGTGGAACTGCCCCAGGGTTCCAGGCTGTCAGTCTTTACGGAGGAGCCCAAACGGGCTTTCCACTCCCGGAGGGTTACAGTCTTGGACATTCACAGGGACGGTTCTACCCTGTCCTGTAGTGTCGCTGTGAGTCGGCACGGATACAATGGCAGGAGTGTGGTTTCCGGTCTCCATCTTTATGAGAGCAGATGGCCTGGGCAGAGAGGACGTGTTTGTGACTACGAGGGCACTTCAGACCGTCGGTGGAGAAACGGAACGGAAAGATACTGTACATTTCCCTGCCAACTCTTTGCTGTCCCCTCACATGGGTTGAGGGAATGCTGAGTGGACTTGCCAGACCCATCTCCTGATGCCCTCATGGGGTTTGTTAACTACCTGTTTCAATCACCCTGCCCACTGCCTGCCACGAGCTCCCGGCTCCTGCTGAAGGAAGCTCCCACCGCCCCACCCCAGGGCGCTCCCCACCTCTCCTCTTTCCCAGCCACTCCCAGCATCGAAGGGGCTTTCTGAACCTTAGGCCCGGCCACACCTCAAGCGAGCCTTGGTTTGGTGGAAACTTCTCCACGGCGTCCTTTCTCTGACACCTGGCCTGGGACTCTTGAGCCCAGAGCTTGAAGCGTGGTTTGGGTGCAGGGGAGCGTGAGCTCCAATGACGAGCTTTGGCCGCCCGACCACAGGGAGAGTCACCAGGACGCAGAGAAAGAGGTAACGAGGTTGAGTTCATTTTCCTTTGTAGAGAGATGAGAGTAGACGGGTTCCGAAACCAACAAAAAGGGAAGCGAAAGGATTCAACAAGCTCAGTGGGTCAGTGATTTCCAAAGGGCGGGCCGTGACACCGAGAGTAACAGCGCTCGGGCATCGCGGCCGACCCTGAAGAAATGAGAGAAAAGATCAGGACGCGCCGGACTCAGTGAAGGCCGGCAGCATTCTATACACGACACACCTGTCATGTGAAAGGAACTTCCACTAGGTCCTGTTCCAAACGCTTTGAAAAACACCACACTCTAAGGGGGGGTGCTAACGGTTTGTACTCAACTACTAATGGGACAGCTGGTGGTCCCACCCCTGCCCTGACCCCCAAGAGCACATGGGAGGAAGGCCTGCCGGTCTGCTCCCATCGAGATCACAGCTCAGCTCTCCTCTGTGGCACCGGGTTTGTCTGTGAAGACGGCTGCAGTGCTGTTACTGGATGCTCCCCAGATGATTCTGATCCCTAGCAATTCCATGGGACGGAGAAGAGCAGCTCCACGGGTTTCCCAGGTTGTAACCTTCGGAGCAGACTGCTAGGTCCTTTTCTGCAGAGCTGCTGGTGGTTCCGAACTGCCAGGGTTTCGGTGGGCAACAGCTGTAAGGGCAGCTAGAGTATGGCCAACACAAGGAAGAGGGTGGGGAGCTTGCAGGTCTTTGATGGAGTCCTGCCTTGAACACAGACCCTTGACAACCCCCTACCACAGCCACAGGGACCTGGAGGCGGGATAAGTACCTATCGGGAGTTTTAATACCGGCTGAATTCCCAGGAAAGGCAGGGAGATCAGAACTCAAGCGGGGAGAAAAGGATCAGCGGGCAGCATACACTCACTCCCGCCCCGCCCCTCTGTGAATTTGGGCACGGTCACATGACTTGCTTTGGTCAGTGGGATGCTAGTGGAGGTGACATCAACAGGCTTGCACTGTGCTTGCAGTGAGCGCGTCCTCCGGCGCAGTGCTCTTGCGTTTCATCGTGAGGATAGCTCTGGCCCGTGAGAGCCGGGACGCTATGGGAGGTCAGGTCTCGATGCTACCCCCAACGGCTTGGAGCCAAGGGCAAGTGAATCCACAGGAGTGAGAGCTAAATGCTTATTCTTATCTGACACTTCCATTTGAAGTGGGTTTTTGCTTCTGCTTTATTGAGCCGCAGAGCTAATCAGTGGTGGGCTGAGCATCCAGCTGGTCATGCGACCCTGTCTTGAAGCCTGTGACCGTGACCGCGATCGAGAGTTCTGCACAGTGAGCGTGGAAGGTCCTCACCAAGTGCCCCGGAAGCTCCCTCGACTCTTCTCTGGAGCAGGACCCGGGCTCATGGCAGACCTGACAGCAGACGCCGAGACCAGCCAGGCCAAAGGGGAGACGACAGGGCAGCTCTGACCTCCCCAGGCTGCCCAGGGCTCTCCACAGAAGAGGGCCCTTTCCTTGCAACGCTGACCAGCATTTCTGTGGGCTATTACAAGTGACAGGAGGGAAATGACTGACCCTCTGAAACTTCCTTCCTTCCCTGGTCTCCGCTTCATCTCTGTTCCCCTTCTGCTCCCTTGGCCACTATCAGATATGAAGGAGCTTCACCTCAGGGAGGCCACTCTGGGCATGTGGCTGGCTGGCTGCTGGGCTTCCCCCTGCTCCCCACTCCAGGCAGCACTGACCACCCGTTCCCTCCAGCCACCCTGCATGGCACCCTTCTCACCCACTCGCACTGGAGATGCGAGCAGGGCCTCTATTTCCTAAGGTTCGTTCACCAGCCCGAATCTCTCTCCTGGGCTCCAACCCTCCGTTCAACTGCCTGTGGGACAGCTTGACCTCCAGATGGCTGACACGAAGGCTGCTCCTGCCTTTTCGCCCTAACCTGCTTCTTCGCAAAGGGAGTCTCTGGAGATTCCCACACTGCCTCCGGCAGAGGGAAACACTACGCCCTGAGTCACACACACAGAGCCAGGACTCCACAGCCCAAGTCCAGGGAGCCGTCTACCCTGCCCGAGGAGAGGGCCTGTTGGTCTGCAGTGCACCCAGCAGAGCCATGTCTGGCCAGGACCAGTGTCAGGTCCAGGAAACTCCCACAGCCTCCGTTCCGTGCCTGGTAACAACCGCGGCAGCAGCAGCAGCTGATCCCGATCACATGCTGATGCTTGCCAAGCACAGCCGGAGAGCAGACTACAGGCATTAACCCATTCGCCCCAGACTAACCTTAGAAACCAAAGCTCTGGTCTTAAAGCAACCCCAGTAGCACTGCAGGGTAAGCACTGGGCTGATATCCAGAAGGTCAGCGGTTCAAACCCATCAGCCATTCCCAGGTAGCCCCATAAAGATTTACTGTCGGAACCCCCCCGTAGGGTTCCTCTGAGTGAGACTGATCCCAGTGGGGGACAGGTTCAACTAGGTCAATGAGGAGCCCAGGTGGCACCATGTGCTAAGCTTTAGACTGTAACAGCAAAGACACTGGTTCAAACCTAACTGATCCCAGGGAGACAGAGGAGGTTCTCTGCTCCTGTGAAGACCGATAGTCTGGGAACCCTCCGCTGCCCCACAGGATCGCTGGGGTACAGGACACGAAGCACAGGGAACGCTGCAGACAATGTGCCGACAGACCCGGGAGTCTGGCTCACAGCTCAGGCTCAGCCCTGCCAGGTCCAGGTCAGACTGCCGCTCCTTTAGAGAGACACCAGGGAAGCGCTAGCACTACGCTACATGAGGAGCTCAACCGAGCATGTGCCGGGGGCTTCACAAAGCTCATGGGAAAATTCCATTATCTTTTCGTTCCATTTTCCAGAGAACTTTCTGGAGCCCCCTGGTGCATCCACAAAGACAAGCCTGCTGAGGCCTCGTGGTGATGGGCAGTTGAGATGCTTCTCGTTCCAACTCGGCGTGCTGCTGGTTAGCTGCCAGCGAGTCGGTTCTCACCGCGGCGACCCCTGCGTCCCCAAGGCGGTGACCTTTCAGAAGCAGATCGCCAGGCCCGTCTCCTGGCTGGTAGGTGCTGTGTGGGCCACCCAGGGGCCTTGTCCCTTTCCAATGGGTCTGCTTTCCTACCAAGAGCCCGCCCTGCTGTCGTCACTGGAGCAAGCACAGGATTTTCCAGGAACACTGCGATGAGAAGAGTCTTACTTCCCCGCCTCCCTGCAGGGAACCACACGGGCTCTCTGCTGCACTTACTGTATTTCTGTGCCCAGGTGCTTGAGGGAGATATTCTGCAGGGCTGAAGGCAGGGTGGAGAGTGGCTGCCAGGCGGCGGCCGCGCCCACCAACCCGGTGGGCGTTTCCACGGGGCACAGGAACTCCTCCAGCTCTGAGGGACAAAGGACAGGGAGTCAGCCCTGGGCTCAGAGCACCTGGGGCCACAGGTGGGCTCACAGGGATGGGGACCTTGCAAGTCTTCTTGGAGGTTTCCAGTAACAAAACCCAACTAGCTGCCATTGAGTCAATGGTCACCCAAAGGTAGGGGGTTCAAACCCACCAGCCACTCTGAAGACAGGAGTGCCCATCTGGTCCGTGCCAACGACAGCCCGGACACCCCACAGGGATGCCAGTTCTCCACAGACGGTTGCTGTCAGTCAGAACTGACTCAAGGGCAATTTTTTTTTAATAACATAGGTTACAGTTATAAATAGAAAAGAGCATATTCATCAAATTAGGTGTTTTGTATGTTAAATCCCCACTAATTCACCATAAAGAGTTTGGGGAAAAAATAGCTGTTTAGAAAAAGATTCTCCCCAACTACGTGGATAGCCACCTCTCCCCCCAGAAGAATTGACTTCAGAGGACAGCACTGAAGCTACAGCTCAGGGAGAGGGACATGTCTGATCAGAG